AATAAATAATAATTAAATAATTAATCTCTGATTTATTTATTCACTTAGTATTTTTAAGCTCCCAGTGTTCTGCAATTGGGATGAGACTTAGTAAAGATTTGACTTGAATCAAACTACTTGCCCACAGAGCCTTTTCAGGAGTTACAGAGCGTAATACATTTGAGGCTAGGTGCTGGTAGTGAGTTTTTTGTTTTATTTTTAAATCCATTTCAGGCTTTGTCTACACAGAGAAGTTGAGATGAAATATTCTTTGAGTGTGCAAATGTTACTTTTTCTTAACCTTTTGTTGACTAACAGTATTTCTTTTAGGTTGAGACAGCACAGATTTACACAGGACCCCTGGGCATGTTCCTGTGACTAAAGACAGTGCTATCAGAATGGAAAAATCTCTTAGAAGGAGACAGCGTTTGCAGGAGTCTTGTGTACTCCTGTCCTGAGATCACGACCGTGCCTGAATAAATTAAGTAACAGTCCTGAAGGGTGCAAGCACAATGGTTGATATGTTTTTCTTCTGTGTTGTCTTTTGGGCATATGGTGATCTTCACTGTAGCTGGCAGCTGTTTTTTAAAGTTCTTGAGATAATCAGCACACAACTGGAACCTCTTAGGTGTTGGTAAGGTTTATTGTGAAGAAGTGATGAAGGAATATGAGCCAAGGAGTACAAAGAAATAAGTAACTGCAATGTTAGAGAAGCAGACTAAAAAAAAAAAAAAAGAGGGCTACGGAGATACTTGGAAAGCCTTTGTTTTACTTGGGGGGGGAAAGAAAAAAAATTATTAATAAATATTGATTTTGCAGATAAAGATTGGGAAGACATAAAAAAGATGCCCGAACATTCAACCTTAATGAAAGATTTCCGGAGAAACACGTAAGTCTGAGTTGAGTTGAGCTTTCTTAACAAAGCATATTGTACTTCTCCCTCTTACCCTAAATTTCTTGTAGTTCAGGTTGTTTTCTATGTAGATGCCAAACAAGGACTATGAAATGGTTATGACTTAGATTGTGAAAAAAGAAAAATAAAGTTGTTTCGTAATGGTAAACTTGGGACTGTTGAGGTGGTGTGAATCAGAAGAGTAGCCGGTCTGGAAATGGTAAGGTGGCAGGTGTGAAACCGGTGATGCCAGTAAGACCCCACACCGCTCTGAAGATTGCAAAGTGCAGTTTGTCACAGCTGTTTCCAAATCTGTGGTACTGGAGATGATTTTTCTGTGATAGCTGCAGAAAAGGGATCTGGTAACTTTATACTGTTTCCAGCAAACAGCGGGTGTAATTGTCAGGTTTGGTGTCTAGGGTAGCTTATCGAGGCTAAAGAAAAGAATACCTTTCCGTTTTGCTGTCATGTTGCCAGAGTCTAATACCTGCACTTAAGACCCTTCCCTGTTGCCCTGTTTCCATGCTGAGGGATTTGGGGCTGTACTGTTACATACATCTCTTGCACCTGCCATGCTATTGTAACCATTTAGAAACCTTATTTCTGAGCTTCTCTTCAAAAAATTGAATTCATGGATGTTCTTGTAGCAACCTGTACATTGCAGGGGAGTGTTAAGATGGGCTTAGTATTTATCTCCATGTTTACTGGCATTAGAAATACACAGAATGGAACTGTATAGTAGTGTTTGTACAAGCATGTGAGGGAAAGA